TGATAACGGTAGTTCCAAGAACAGAGGTTTATTTCTCCGTACGGAAAGGGGATTCTCATAGGAAATATTCACTATTCGATTCTGGCTTTACAGATACCTACTGCTCTGAAATTATTAATTGTAACTCAAAAGTTTTACAAAGTGTTTTACATTTGCTATTAATACGGTTATACTCATTTTACCTCAACGTGACAATTGAATGAATTTTGACAGTTAGGCTGGGCCGAGTTCGCTCGGGGCCAACAATGTCGCTGCCTCTGACTCAATTGACCGGGAAGTTGTACGTTGTAGGGTTCGAATCCCAACGGTGGCGTAATTTTCAACACTAGCTTAATTTAGCTGAGCGAATTCAGCCTTTATCTAGAGAGGAATTCTAGAGGCCTGCTCTGATCTGTAATTTTCTGAGATTTCCCGATCAATTCCAGACGAATGCCAGAGCAATACCCTATCAAACAGGGCATGGGCCGCAAGCGATCTTTCCCCTTCTTTGTCCCAATCGCTCTACTTGCACACACTACCATGCACTACACGCCACACTTGTCTGAAGACCAATCGGGGCGGTGCCCCGGTATGGGAAATTCTTGGAAGGGGAAATCCCCTGCACGCTATGTAGGTCCTCACGATCTAGCGTTGGAGGAACAGTTCCACCTCCCGAGATAAATGCAGTTGACGTGGAAACTGTCGAAAACATCAATAAACCTACTGATAAATCCTCAGAAGCCTGTGTTCCTCTCTTGATATGATGTGAAATGCACCGACGAATTAAAATGTCGGCTTCAGGAGCATTCCCTCCCTTCAAATACGTCAGGGGCGGATCCAGTCGATTATGTTTGGGATAGATCATAGACGGGGCATCATAGATTTTTGTTAAATAATAAACATTTGTTATATTTTATATTATTTTAGAATCGTATATTTAGTACAATATTGTTTAAATAATTACATATTTTTAGCACATATTCAAATCAATTTTACCAAATAAAGGAAGGTAAAAAAAGAAAACTCCAGGCCTTTTGGTGGTGGCCATGCCCCCTCCCACCTAGATCCGCCACAGAAATATATCCCAATCAGACGGAACCAACTCCAGGCTCCGACTGGTCTTCCGAGATGTCTGGTAGTAATATAGTGAGTGCGTGTGTGTGTATTTAAGGTGAAAAGATGAGGAAGAAAACATAACGCACTATTTGTGGCCCATTAGTACTCCAGGATTCGCCTGGTACTGATCGGCGAAACCATTAAAATCTATACTTCAGAAACCCGACCACTAGAATTCCCGTCCAGCCAACTGCAGATTCGAATAGTATCGCTAGTGTCGAAAATTCACCATCGAGATTATACGATCGCCTAGTCAGAAACTGCTGCCATTAGTTGCTACTCAGAGCCATCTCAGCGGCAAAATCACAATAATTTCCCAAAAAATATTTAAGTTCTACTGAAATATCGGAATTTTCAGGAGAAAATACCGATAGGCCTACACCCTTAATTATGGGTGTTTAGCGGTATAGACGTCGTATAAAGGTTACCTCTAAAAATGCCGGTACTGGACATCGAATACCGGTATAAATATTTTTGGGGCTATAATTTCGTTATTCGGTCCCAGGCTGTGAAAGGGGTTCAAGTTCTATTGTTGCGTTAATTTCTCCTTTTTTGGAGGTTCTTTGGCCTTCTCTTCACAAAACCAACAAATTTGGGTAAAGATTTAGTTACACAAAAAGTTATTAAAAATACAAAAATTAAAAAACCAAATCGATAAAATTAACAAAATCTAAGATAAAAATCAATTATAGATAAACATAACAGAAATAGCTGGCACTTATTGCGAAAAACAATTATTTCACAAGAAAAGAAATGTAGGCTTACAACAATTATTTCACAAGAATGGAGGTTTTCACTCATGAGTAAAACCAATGGTCTCTCACATGGTCGATGTTGCCATAGAAAAACAAGTTGACAAATATTCACTTAAGAGTTGCCACTACTGAAAAGCATCAATTGAGATACAAGCTTTACCTTCAAAAATGAGGGGAAAGCAAAAAGCTATTAAATTTTGAAGCTGGTCACAATAATATGGCTAGGGACAGTATAAGCCAGGAGTAAGATGTATGTATTGAAATTATTAAGGTATTTCAATTTATAGGGGTACTTTACATAAAACCCCCGTGAAATTTTCCAAATTTTGTTTTTTCTTCAATAGAGAAAAGTGATATGGTATGTAGTAAAATAGTAGGCTAAATACAGTGCAGTCCAGTTTTCATTAAAACCTTTCAAATTTTGAAAAGTGTGTCATGAGTAAGATTTATATAGCTATTAAGATTATAATATTATGCAGATATTTTAATTTCCATGGGTACATTACATAAAGCTCCTGAGTCATTTTCAAATGAGTCTGAAATATTTATTTTTTGCTTGAATAAAAAAGTGCATTTATATATTCAGTTTAATCTGATTATTATTAAACCTTTGAAATACGGAACTTGAAAAAGTTCAAATGCTTTTCAAACTTGTCCAACACTTCCGAAATTATAGCTCAACATACATTTCTCAATGCATTTTATCCATTGAAAGTAATTTACTTTATGGCAAATAATTATTATTCTCAATCACAAAATATCTAAGTAAAAATATATTAAATATGAATGGTTTATGCTATATAATTTACAAGAAATATAATACCATTAAAAAAATATCAAAATTCTTATACAGTTTGGTGTAGTGAAGAGTTGCCCCCTTTTGGTATTCATTATAATATCCAAATTATACCTTTCATAAAGATGTGAGGAGGGGGAAGTTTTGGTGTGCTGCACTTTCCTACTAATTTTATGAAGTTCCCCCCAGACTCCCTCTCATTTGTCATTAGATAAACACTTCCTTGAGGAATGTACAAGTACTTTTAGAAATGAAATATCTTGGTGGCTTTGTAATAAAAATTCATTTTGTTTACAATTGCTCTTCTTTGAGCATTAGAACTTCTTGTCTGTTGTCTCATTATTGGTCCAACTCCTCTTCAGTTTTATAACATTCCTTTTCTCCATCAACTGTAGATAATGCATTGAATTTTCTACATTCTTTCATTCTCCAAGCTATTCTGTATTCACCCATTTTTCCATTTAGATTATATTTTCCAAGGTAGTTTCAAATTTCCTTATTCCAGGTAGTCTCTCTTTGGGATGCCTATGTACTCCCTTAAAAACTTTATAATAAATATATATATATATATATATATATATATATATATATATATATATATATATATATATATATATATAACCATTGACTTAAAATATTTGAACAGAAATATCTATATTACAATCATCTGCGTTCCTATGTATAAGACTCTTTATAGAGTACATTTATTATCAGATATCACAACTTGGTTATCAGAAAAATGGATCATTAAAACATTTTTGTTATTAAAATAATTTGTAATATTTAAAGACAGCATCTTTTGCTTACACATTCTGATTTCAATATTCCAATAAATATTAAAAAGTGTGGTGACATACAACAGCCTAGTTTCACTCTTTTATTTATAATTTCCTGGAGGATCACACCTGATTTTGTTCTCACATTTTTACACATACCTCAACTTTATTAGGTATTTTGGTAAGCCTCTTTTGCCCGTTATTGACTTTTCTCTCATAACTTTGGCAAAGACCGTTATACACTTTATAGACCATACATATTTACAGGTTGAATTTTCTCCTATTTTCCATTAACAATTTTAACACAAACATATTATCAGAACATGATCTCCCTTTTCTAAAGCCTGCTTGCACTTCTAGTTATTACATTCAGTATATTTTTCATTTTTATAATTTTTGCACACACACACACACACTAAATGTATTCAGCCCCTTTAGTTATCACATACAGTTTAGAGACCTATTCTTCACATATACTTCTTTTTTGCCAGGATTTTCTCAGCCACATGTTCAATATGTATGTTCACATATTACAGTAATTTTTTGTTATATTTTTTTAAATTTTGTTTTATTCTTTCCTGATCTAATCCTATAATGGATGTATGTCAATACCTCAAATATCATATGTCTTGTGATTATCTGAAGCTAAGCCTCAACAGGTAAAATAATGCACTTTCAGGAAAATATTCACCTATACTATCCATATAAAGCCTTTTCAGAAACATGAGGTATTTTAGTGGCCTGGTTGTTTTCAAATGACTCATCAGTAAATTGGACTTATGGTATGCATTAAATACCTTGCTTAACCCTACTGTACTGTTCAGGTCTCTAAGTGACCTGCAAATTCACCTTTTTGTTGTTGTTTTTTTTAACATAGCAAATAATCAATAGAAAAGTTAATATTTTTTCTTCTTCACCATATATTTCCTGCTAACTATTTTCCAAAGATCAAAAAAACAGAAGTTTCATGATTTTCATTGAGCCAAAACAATTCAGTAACACTCCCACACACAAAAAAACAAAAGTTATTTTCATCTTCAGTAAAATTAAAGAAGCTGCTGGTAGTCCATATGAATTTACAAACGCATTCAATTGCAATAGAAAAATAAATTATTGACCATTGATACTGTGTTTATATACGATCAACAGTTTCTTTTGTGTTATCACCTTCAACAAATACTGCTTTTAAATTGAAAAAGAAACTAACTGAAAGAATTTGGTGGATCTGGCCAATCCTCTTATTGGTGCGTTTATGGCATTTTGGAAACATCACAAGAAATAAACACCAGCAACAATGGTGGAATTTTTAACAATTGCTTGACTTTAGTGGTCTTATGTGATACAAGCAAATGCTGCCTTATAGATAATAGAATCGAATTACATAGTTTATGTTGCATTTGCAGTGAAACATATTTGAATATCCTTTGCAATTTATTTTTGCACACATTACAAGTTAACATTAATATTATAAGTTATTGTACATTAAAATTTCACTTTATAAATGGTTAGATCCACCAAATCCTTTTTTTATTCATCACTGGTATGCAAATTAACTTTCTGGGTCCTATGAAACATGTGCAGTACAGCAGGGTTAACTGAATATCAATTATTACACATGTAAGACTAGCTATTTATTTTGCATTGCTTAAACAAAAATTGATGATGCAGGAACACCCAGAACAGTATCAACCACATTCACATACAGGGAGGGATGAAGGTAATGGTTGCAAAAAAAAAATAATCACAACAAAAATAAAACTTTGGATCACAGGTTGTCAAGCTTGGAAATAAGAAAACAGAAATTTGTTACCCAAAATACACAGGTATATTTCTACAAGATCTAAAGTTTAGTGAACGACTAGTTCAAATAACATTTTCATCAGTCCAATCTCTGACAGACTCACATATTTGGTTACATCCCTTCTTACACACTGCAAAGAAAGCTTAAAGAATACAAACAGCAACATCAGAATGAAACTTTTTAAATGGTATTTGCTGAAATCATATTAATTTACAAATTAAATATTTAACATTTTTATACAGAAAATTTGTAAGATTAGATGATATCTCCTATGTTGAGTCATAATTTGGAGACTATAATTTACAGAAGATTACAAGATATATCACAAACCAAGTAACTTTGTTCTGATGCTGCACGTTTGTCTTGCTACTCTGAAGAATCCTTAGTTGCACTTCACGGTGATTTATGTTATGTTTCTTAAGCTACAGTACAGAACTTCAACAACTAAAAACATTTTTAATATCTAAGTAGAGTACAGTACACTATAACAATACAAGAAACTTAACCCCAAATTTTTATAACAATCTGGGGATGAAAAAAACATCACAAGAATTCTAGACATATTTCTACAGCACAGGTACAATTTCAAATTAAAAATTAATAATACAAATATCCTCCAGTTTGTCATGTACAATAACCATTATGAGAGGAAATTCCCTAACACATTAATCCCTAATATAAGATAATTACATTCCATGTAAGTAATTAGTACACTATAAAATCAATACAAGGTAAATATGTTAGATAAAACAAAAAAGGTTTATAGTCAGCAAACCAGGAGGATGGGACAGTATTTTAAACAGCAGACCAAAATTGTTAATTTTAAAATATCTGCTAGGAACATCTACACTGTACAAAGACATCATCTAAAGGACATGGCCCAATGTGTGCGTCTACCAGACAGGCACTGAGCTCAAGCCAACTCACACCACACTTAGCAACTGGGAGCTACAAAATACAAGAATATTATTCTCTAATGAGAAAAGGAATTCATCACTTTCTCTAATTGGAAAGGCGAGTCACAGAGAGAGCCAAGAAGAAGAAAGTAAATTTAATAACTATTTACATAAGATCAGGCTCGTGAAATAAAATAGTGAAAACAAATGAACTATTTTTTCTGTAGTCTATAGTTTACTGCAAAACCGTAAAGGAAAAAAATGAACTAAGAACATAGAAGTTAAAATAATTTTTCTTACAAAGTACACAAGAGTGCACATTTAACTATGAATAGAATGTTTCCATTATATTTTCACTATCTGAAAGATACTGAATTACAACTTCTCAATTATTCTGAAAATTTCATTGGCTATGATAAACACAATATGCAATAGCAAGTTAGCTAGTATGAAATAGTGCAACTACCAGAATGTAAAGATTTTACAGAGAATTTTCTCACCCTCTTCTTTTTGTGTTCCTTTGTATTCCAATAGTTACTCGCCCATCCTCAAACCTGACTGGATGAAGTATATTTTCACAAATAACTGCCCAATTGCTGCAGATACCTTATAGAAGCCAGTTAAGTGACTGCCAACTCAAGGCACAGGTGCAAGAACAGAACCACAGCAAGCAAGGCACTGGAGCAGATAAGCGCAGTGTTGTCCTGATGCACGTTGGTAATATGCATTACGGACCGATATGCAATATGAAGCATTTTCCAGATGAATAACTTATACATTTCCACATTTTTGCAATCACATTATTTTCAAACAATGCATACTACTTTTCATCAATTGACTGAATTCACAATATCATTTTCGAAAAGCTGTATCTTAAAATATTAATTGATTGATTTACTTCTAAAAATGTTGTTATTGTTTTACTCAAATAGATGAAAGGTAGAGAATTTGTGATGAATAAAATGTGCAATTTCTCCAGTGACATTACATGTAAAAGATAGTAACTTTCAAACATTGAAATTCTGGCAGCTCTTAATAAAACAGCTGTCTTCCAATGATCCAACATTGTTTAAATCACTGTGCACAATTCATAAAAATCTGATTGTCATTGAGATCAGTACATAGTCATGCTCCTTGCTTCTTGGTTTAAATAACCCAAATTGTTTCTTGCAAAGGGGAAGAAGGCAGTCACAAAACTGGCCTTTTCTCTACTCATTAACGATATGGTTTTGTGAAGTGTGAACTGGCTTATTGATAAATAAAAAAATAACCACACAATCTTAACAACCAATAGAAGGATATCACACAAAACATGACAGTGCATCAATACATCATGAAGCTTAACACTTCAAAAACATGTCACAGAGCCTTGCAAATTTGATGAAAAATTATGTTATATGCAGACTGACTGTAACAGCAAAAAAATGTCTAAATAGGCCATTACGTAAAAGTGTATATATGAAAAATATACAAATATCAGTGTTTATTCTTCATTTTGAACTGAATGTGTACCTCAAACTTTTAATAGCATAATTATATTTGGAACAATTTATTTATAATTAGGAATCTAAAGTGTATCTTGACATTAAGACACAACATCATACAGTCTCATTACAAATACACTAATATCAAATGAAGTAATTTTTAAAAGTTTCTTATGTATTTGATGCTTTTGAAGAAGCTTGAAATGCAAAAAACACACAGCATGTCCAGTTCACTGACCAAACAACTGGCACTGGACTCTGCAGTATAGTATTTGGAAGCATTTAATTTCACACATGCACACATCTAAAGATAATTCACATGAATCCTTTGTGAATAATTCTATTAAAAAATAAAATAACATGTCAGAAGAAAATAAGTATAATAAAAATAACAAACTAATTCCAAACTGTCTCCAGCTTTCTTCATTAAAATATAAATTTAGAAAGTACATTAAATGGGCAAGGTTTTTCCACATTTCTTGGAGGTTAAATTTTAATAAAGCTCATCCAAAAATGAGAAAGTTTTAAAAATTACTCATACCCTTTTCGTTCAAACATTTCTAAAGGAATTCTACCTAGCTAATTTTTAGACATGAAGTACTACACTCCAGGTAAATATATTTTAAGGAATTGAAGGAATTATATATTAATAATATTGTTGTTAAATAAATTACTTTTGATCTTCAAAGGTGGGGGTAAAATGCATTATACTTAAAATACAATTGCAGTCATATTTTGCATTTCCTGCAACACACCCTTCTGAAAACTAAATGAAAAAGTGTCAGACAGTACCAAATCAAAGGTGATTTAGATCTTCAGTGCTTAAAATTGCAAACCATAATGCAATTTTTGAATCAATAAAATGAAGGGTGAGTTTTTAGCAATTTTAGCATTTTTAATCATTTATGATAACGAAAACATCGAACTGTAGTTTTAAATATGAAAATCCAACATGTTTGAAGTACAATTAATTGTTTGTAGGCTAGGAAAGTAAAAAATATCAAAAACCACCTGAAAAGTGACCAAGTGAAAAAGTCTGTTACAATCAGTCAAACAAATTTCAGCTCAAGTCATAATGTAATTAGATATCACAAAACTCAGAACTAAGTTAAAACAACTACATTGCAATAATTTAAACAATTTATTAAATCTGAAAGCTTCATCATAGTATATTATATACATATTCTCTATACATATTGTAATATTTCTTGATTAAAACAAGTGAATAAATGGCCCATAAAAGTTTTTGAGCATAGAAATTCATACAGTATGTATGCATTCAAGCAACACACTGCATTTGACTAATGTAACTCACTGGATTTCAGCGAGAAGCAACAAATGCAACATTTTCCATTATTCACATTGAAAAATTAACACCATACTCTGTTCTATTTTACATTCTGCAGCAAGATTCCACTGCTAGGGAATGGAGCATGGGCCATTAACACAAATGCAAACAGTAAAAAGCTTTTGGCATCTCATCACTTGAATAGCTCCCTGCACAAATTATGATCCCCATTTCCAAAATAAGCAATACTGATGACAGTATACCTAGAAATGTAATACTATTTGATTAAAAGTAGAGGAAAGAATATCTACGTTTGTGACCCAACATCTATTTCTAAAATGCTCACTTCTAAATATTTACACTAAAACAAGCTGATGTCAGCTGTTGAAATAATGGCTTCACCATTATTTAGCAGAAAAATAATATAGGAAGAGCAAGAACCCCATCCTGCAATATTTCTTCCATGACAAATTCTTATCACAGACCCATGCTAAACCACCAACTTGGAAAATAGAAGAGAACTAGTCATAAATGCTTACCATTAACAATACATGCTGCAAACCAGGAAAAACAGGATGGAAGAAGTCATTTAGATCCCTATAGAAACAACGAAAATCAAGCAATCACACAGTACTCAAAGTGGAGCTGTAAGCTCCAGGTTGAAAATACAGCATCCCTTAGGCAGTTGCATTTCTATCTTGGGTTGTAAGAAACATGAGTGCAGTCATGCATTATTTGCATTAACACTAATATTCAATATTTCAAAATGTGTTCATGAACTTTTTCTTCAGACACAGGTTTTAAAAATGACATTACAGTACAGGCAATTGTACATGGACGGACGGAGGTTACCAAACAGACATGCACTCAACACACATTAGACACATGCAAGAGCAGAATCGCTACTCAAAAAGACACTGCAAGCCTTGTAGATCAGATCATGGATTTCAAGAGGATTCTCTTAGGCTTGCCCGTAAGTCAAGTGACAGGTTATGTGCATGAGATTTTCCACTTTGAGCACTGCACATGACTTAACAAGACTAGTTTGAAATGCTATTTTATCAAGCCCTTTTTTAAACAAATAATATCACTATTCTACACTTTTGAAAACCTAGGATAAGACAATAGGATAGAAAAATAACTATCCTTATAATAGCAAAGGCCTACAGCAACAAAATGTGTAAGTCATCTTTGAGGTAAGAGTTAAAAGAGTAGCACACACAGTGAATAATTCTAAGAAACTATGTAGACCATGTCATACCTTAACATCCATTTCTTGCTCTTCTTAGCCAAGACAGTCTTGCTTGAATGGAAATCATCTCATGGGAAGGGGGTATATATTACATTACCAATAAAACTAAAATTCAGGACTAACATCCTTGTGATACAATATTTTCTGTAACTATACACGGCATGGCACATCATTATTACTAAAGACTCAGATTAATTACTGACAAGAGGTAAACATAGTAACCTGGGTAGTTTGGTTTCCAGTTGTACTTAAATAAATGCTCTCTAGCCCAATCCTAAAGTATATACTCAGTTGGTGAACATTCAACATATCTATGAGTTCTTGATAAACAAAGCATCCTCAAATCACCTAACAAGACCAATGTCGGGCAAAATATTTAAACATAACATCAAAAAAATCAGTAAACATTTTCATGAAGTGCCTTATGATCTGGGCTGTAACATTGTGTGTCAAGAGATTCAATAACAATTGCATTAGTAATAGATGTTAAAGAAAACAAAACAATGTAGCCCAGCTCTGTTGCACATGACTTCTTAAGGAAATTCCATCACCTCCAGCACCCAAAATCTACCTCCCTTATGTGAATGATAAAAAAGTATACACAATTGTGTCCCAAATAAATTTATCAGAGTGAAGACGATGTACAGAGGTCACGATATCATCACACAAACACACTATCAGTCATAAATATACACAAACACATACAAAACATACATCAACAAAACAGTTATTCATTCACCAGTTTCACATCTACATCATACTGCAAAGTCAATTTCGCCCATCATTACTTCTGTACAAACGTCTTCGAATTCTTGAATTTTCGGATTTTTCTCATGGAAAATGTATGTGTATAAAAATATATGTATATCATCTACTTGAGTCAAATACCCATGAAAAGGAAATGAATTGTGTTAGGTAGAATACAAAGATATTTCCTGTGTTTGTTTTTTCCACAATCAAATGCACACAGAACCATGCTGCAGCATGCTGAAAATAAAATTTTGGTTATCAAAGCATCAGACTTTGTACAAACACCTATTCTGATAAATGTTTTAATGTTTAGGAGTAGGACTTTTTTCATAAAATGCAAGCAAAGAGCAGTATCTATATGCACAACAGCACTACATACAAAATCTTTCAATTCCTGCGAGAGGGGAGTTATGCAAGCAATTCTCTCTCAGTCATTTACCTCTGTTTTCTGAATAGTCTTTCTATCTATGAAACAAACAAAATGAATAAGTAATGCAAATTGTATTCACACACGGAAATACAAGACATACACAACTCAAACACCAGACACAAAGGAAGCTAACAATTTAAATATCTATGTGAATGTTATTACAAAAAAATTCTCACAAGACGAGAATGGAACACAATTTTTTTTTCTCTTTTTACAAATCCCTGACTGCAGCGACACAGATTTTTATCAATTAACGATGCACGGTTTGGAATAACACAAAAACTTCCATCCCTGTTCCCACAATGAAAAGATAAAATCGTTAAAATTTTAGGTCGTATATTTCTGTGTCAAAGAACAATTAAAAAATATTCTTCATTAGAAGTTTTTTATGATATTAGGAAAAAATCCAATATTCAATTTAAATAAAAATATCACCCATAACTGCTTTTAAAGCATTTTCAAATTAACTTGTAAGTCAACATATGATTTAGCTGAAATGACAGCTTGCGCCGTCTTACAAATTGGGACAAAAATATACATATGATTTGCTTTGTTTCATGAATTCTACAGACCAGCCTGATACAAGGCACACAGCCAGGAGTTCTAATTGAACTTGGAGTAATCAGTGCTGTTGCCATTGCCATTATCGGAAGGAGGTGTCTGGGCACATCGAGCACACAGCTCTTCATATGGTCGCCCATGCAAGAAACAGATGAGTACCACTGTCATGTTGTCACATCCCAAACCACCCATCTGACAGTCTGGGGCAAGGCAGCGGGTCATTAGATCCTCACAGATGTCTTCTGGATCCATGCCTGTTCCTATACGAAGGCGCACAAACTCCACCACTTCCTGAGAACCACAAGAAAACATAGTAATTACTGAATTTTTCTTCACACCAGAAAAGAAATTTTATTACTCAGATTATGACTTTCAGAAAAACAATCATATTATCTACAATAATTGCTTAAAAAGTAAGTCAAGAATTACATATTTGTTATAGAGTACACATAAGTGATGATCAAAATATTAAAAATCATTACTGATGAGATACAATCAATCCTTTATACACACTACCATCTATTATGTAGATTAAAATGAAGGTGCTCTTTAAATTAGTTTCACACTACCAATTTGTTATGTTGATGTAGCATATTTGATTAAAATTTTCTGCTCTGAAACAAAATTAGTTCGTTTTTACATTTCGATTTCATTAAGTCATTAAATATTATTTTAAGACAATAAAGCTTTCTATTGTAGTTCAATTTTTCGTAATATTGAAAAGCAATCCACAATATGCTGAGCAACTACACACTTTTCACATTCATAGCTCTTATCCACTCTTTTGAATTTATGTCCTCAAAGATCATAAACATATGTGGCCCCCAAAAAAAACCTTGGTGTTCATTGGTGCTTTTAGGCGTCCACTGGGTCCATCTTACTTGGAAAGTGGACCCAATATTCACCCTGCAGTTTTAGAGATCAAATATCTCCTCTGAGATGTAATATACAGGTGTTGTAATAAACTTCAGTTCCTTAGCAACATTGATTCAGCCCAATTTTCGTGTTTTCTTGAGATAAAATGTAGTTTAATGGACAGTGAGTAAATTCTGATAATCAGAGACCCCTCCTTAACACTATTAACTACTAACTTATTCAATAAATAGTACAGAACTTCAACACTCATTAAACCCTGGTATACATTACGATGAATATGGGTATACAAACGATGAACATCAAAGTATGCAAACAGAAGAATATTAACAGAGATTTTCATGGTAAGATCCAATGGAGAGGATTACATTCATGCCATGATACTGACATTTTATGCAACGCAATTGCCAAGATCAGAAAATAGTATGGAAGCTTATACAAGTTGTCCACGATAACAGCTACTCATTATTTACAAACATCATTTCTCTATGAGATATTAAAGCAGTTCTTTTTACACCTTACAATGGTCTGATCTAAAACTATTACAAAGTCTGTGATTATGTTAGGCTGGAATTTTCTAAAAATGATAGCATAACGTCTAATCAGATGTACAAAGTCTGCCAACCCCAATGAAAAATCTTCCGCACCTCAAGGGCATACCCAGGTTGAAACATATCTCAGTTCCTTCTTTTGAATATTAGTTTCAACACAAATGCCAAAAAATCACCTAACTCAAATCTGTAAGTGTCATACTTCATATAACAGCACAAAACTGGATTTTCTTACCAAACACTTTCTTTTTGTTGTAAACATAAGTAAGGGGTATAGTAATATTGCATTTGGGTTGAATGTATTATATACTGACACAATTTGTATTACAATTTACAGATTTCTACACACAATCAAATAAAACTATTACTGGAAAAAAAAAAAAAATGATTTATGAGCACTCAGTCTTCTTGATCATACATTTGAAATTTTAATATTTTTCTTTTCACTCTGCCTTACTTTGACAAATAAGCTATTTCCAAGTTTTATTATATAATGAAATTATATTATTAATATTATTATTATTATTATTATTATTAAAGAAATGCCTTAATTGTAATGCATGTTATATCAAAACAAAGAATATAATCCTCCAGTGTTGTAATGCCAACTTGACAGTTTACAGGTCCCAAAGAAGTCTTTGGGATCCCACAAACCGTATAATTAGTAACAAATTTCATCACAAAATTGTACTTTAATAAACATCTTTTCATGTTAACAAAATTAACTAGTGACAACATAGGCAAACAAAAAGCTCTGTGTCAATATTAATAAAAATAAACTAAAGAATAACACTATTAAATCACTGGTTGCTGAAGTAAAGTCATTGTGATTATTAGCAATGAGCATTTTCTTATCTGACAGTTTCAAGACATTGAAAGACTGAATTGAAGTGTTTCTCCAAAGAATTGAAACAATAAAAAAAATAAGAAAATCAGAATGACTAGCAAATTACTTCAAGGCACACATTTCCTCTACTATACAATGCCAGCCCTCTTCTGAAATTTGACATTCGTATTTTAAAACTTGGTATGGCAAAGAAATTATTTCTGGGATGGGATTTACTAGTCTTTGTAAAGACACAAAAAGAAAAAAAACAACCACTCAATTATGTTTGAAATCAGCAAAACCAATGTGTATGAGATGTGTAGGACACAGTATGGATTCTCAAAAACAGTTCTTTCAAATATATAGTTTAAGCAACTATCTTTAATAAAGCATAAAATTAAAAAGTAAAATAATGTTTATTTTCCCATGTTGATGTGTACACAGAAAATATTACAAAACATAAATTACTAACCTCATTTGACATAACATCCCATATACCATCACAGGCCATAACAACAAATTCCCAATCTGGAGTTACATCTCGAACCTCTACATCAGGGTAAGCTGAAAACAATAATTATACAATTTTCATTTGTGTTGTTTGCCTTATTTCCTTTTTATGTCAAATGTATTTCATATTTTTATTTCTCATTTTCACTAAAAGTACTTCATGAAACAGAGTTCCACTCAATAATAACAATAATATAAATAATAATAATAATAATAATAATAATAATAATAATACAATGAGTGTCATAACATACTTTGATTGCAGTACTACTTATTTTCAGTTTTTATAAATAATTACAATAGAAAAATATTAGCAGTGATTTTACATTACCTGTTACAATTTGTTCTTCAGCACGCTTTTTGTCATTCTTTTTAAACACAAAATCTCCTAAGGCTCTTGATAATGCTAGATTTCCATTCACTCTATTAAACTCAACCCAACCACCAGCAGCCTGGATTCGCCGACTTTCAATATCATTGCTTGGCTTGTGATCCAAAGATAAAGGATCTACTTTGGCATTTACACATGCAACTGCTCGAGAATCACCAACATTGGCCTGTGCATAGAAATAAGCAATAAAAATACCTTAACATACAAGAAAAGCAGTTATTTTACATTTTGTTTATTTAAAAGTACATACACAATAAAGTTTGTTATTTTTCAAGACAATAGCCACAGCAGTGGTGCCAGCTAGTTCATCTTTCAGTGACTCTTCATTAAGCATAGCTGTATCAACATCCAAAAATCCCTAACAAAATCAAAAATAAAATCATTTTTATCACACAATGTTATTCAATGAAAATGTATTTAACAATAGACATGAAATTCAAAACTTACTTGACGGAGTGCTTCTTCAATATTACCCTCTTTATACTCTGGTCTCTTCACAATATATTTATGGAGATGTTTCCCAGCATACTGTGCAACTTTAGCTCCTACAAATTAATTGTATAACAATATTCATAACATTGAAGTGTTAAGATAACATGAAAGAGTTATTCATTTAAACATAAATCTGGTAAGCTTATCTTCTGAATTTTTTGGTATGAATGACACAAATAAACTTTACCTCCATGTCCATCATATACTCCAAAGAAAGCTGTCCCAGGATCATCCGGAAGGGACAAAATATGCGTGTGCGAATCCTCCATATTGATTCGCCATCCCTGCATACAGCTTGATCCAACTTTCAGCTGTGAATTTGTGCATGTTGCAGATTCCTTTGCTGTAACAGGTTCTGACAATGTTTGACCCATCGTCCTGTAGAATAAATCACACAAACCAGATTTTCTACATTTCCTTAACAAAGGGTAGTATGTAAACATGATTCCTGCCAACACCCAGTGTTTTATTAATGAACAAATGAAACAAAATACACATTCTTAAAATTGAACAATTCATTCAACCATTTTCGCAATAAAGACACAGTTGCGCCACGATCCGAAATTCGAAATCATATTACCATGCATACGAATCAACGAGCCTTAAAAGTGATTTTGTCGGCAACAACAATTGCAACAATACATCCACGCACATCTGAAGCTCATAACGCAACGTATCTTCGCAATTTACTCACTTTACGTTTCAGAAATGACGAACGTCAGTCATCAACTTCCTGAGAACTCTAAATTTTTATCCAAGATACGCTTCAATTATCCATGCCAAACATGATATTGTCACATTTATAAACTTATTCAGATTTTAATACTCAATCATCTCCATAGATTCACAAGGAACTATTGTCTTTCACCACAAAAATCAACAAGAATGGCGACATCAGGGCCATCTATGAAAAGCTGACTATCACCACCCGTCCGTTTTGCGCGAAGGTGACTTCACTTGTTCCCAACATAACCACTGCACCGAGCCTGGTTTCAATTGCCCGGTGCGCAAGTTTGCTTAATGCAGTGGTTTAACCTGAGCGTTGAAAATTTTATCAAGTGAAGATTTCTGTGTGGGCAGCAAGTTTGTTGAAAATGCTCTCTCCGTGAATTATTTTAAATCTACAATGCCGGTTATTTTGAGTGGGTGGAAATATGTTGCCTTCGTTGGCACATTAGTTGGAGCAATTGGTATTACCATGTATCCAATTTTCATTGAACCAGTGTTAAACGTTGACAAATACAGTGAGTAGTGGGAGTCAAAATGCCATATAACCAAAAATATTAAATGTTAACCAGTATTTAATTTACCCTTTCCCAGAACAAATTCAAGCAAGAAATCGAGAAGGTGTGATCCAGGACGCTATTCAACCAGGAAGTATGTTAGTGTTTTCAGTTGACTTAATGTTTGGCAAAGTGTAAAATATATTATCATTTTAATATTGTTTCAGATATGAAAGTGTGGTCAGATCCTTTTGGAAAAAAATAATGTCTGACGCGCTGCTAGAAGGACAACTGTTGTAAGATAGTAAGATTGAAAATAAATAGGGTTTAAATTAAAAGTATGTTTTTTTGAGTAGAAAGACAGTAAACCCTGTATTAAGTGATCATTGCTGATTCCATGAAAAAACAGTATTCTCGAATAGTATTTGTTAGATTTTTCAACATTTCTTGAAGCTTCTGCTAGGGAGGTTTTGTTTTAATCTGTCTCAACATCTTGATTGTTATCAGTAGTTTGATGACAGAATTTTCCTAAAATTTGAAACATAAAATGGTTTAAAAACATACAATTTAAATATTTATCTGCAATTCACAAGATTGACAGCAGTTTGTTGATCATTGAGGAGTGAACTTTCATTTCAGCTGATAAGAATCAGTTTCTTTGTAACGCACATAACTTCATCCACGTGAGCAATCCCAAATCAAAGGACACCCTTGTAATCTAGCTGTAATAACTCCCTGATCAAGTGATTGCGATTTTAGTTGTGTGGCAGTAAAATTCAGTAGTCTCACGTTAATTTGAATTATGAGACATAGCAAGGGCCATTGTCCAATAGCGCAATGTAATTTTTATGTTGACAAAGCATTTATTGTATAGTTCAGCTGCCATTCAGAAAATCCCTATAAATATCCAAGTTCTCATTTGCATGCTGTTCTCGTATGCATAAATCCTATATTTTGAAAAATATCGTTAGTCCCTCCAGATCTGATTTGGAACCTTGATTTTTTTCATTCAAAACTATATTTAATTCAATTAAGGGGAGGAGATATTTTGTTTCCTGTCGATGCTCCAGTCATGATATGAATTAAACTCTTGAAATTGAATTTATCTGCTTTACTAATCAATTTCTGCTAATTTTCTTTCCCACAAATCACTTCATTTTATTGAACACTTTTTAAAACTGCTGAGGTGATTTGAAACTACCTAACTAAACAAACTGATCATGAAATAGAATAAGCATGTGTTACAGTGTCAGTGGACAAAAAATAATATATATATTCCCAGAATCCACCCTCTTCCTCCAAATTCCTTGGAGCAATCAAAGGCAAGCCACTCTGCTTGGATATACAAAGGAGTTTGGGACAGGCTGTGATGTGAATGCTGTTAACAGTAATGTTGCAATTTTCCATTTTAATAAACTATATAGAAATGATCTCTTACAATTTTTCTGAAAGCGGGCTATTAAAAGGGTTGGAAAGAAAACTTACTAAAAGGTTGGTTGGGTGGTCAGTTAATAATGGGTACAATTTACGTGAAACATGATTTGTGCCCATTCAAAGAAAAACTGGTTGTTAAGAGGGGGGGGGGGGGTCTTTTAGAGGGGTTTAACTGTAGTATTTATGAAAAATGAACTAGAACTTACACTTTATACAAACATTGTATACTTTTACAAAACAGTGTAACAAAGGTACATAGACAATACATCAGCTAAAAACTTGTGCAAATGATCGTTGGTATCACTTTAACATTCAGTATGATAAATAATGCATTCCAATATGCAAATATGCAAGAGTTACTCACCATATAAAAAATAACATACGTTACTTTTATGCACTTAGAAATGACATGTCAACATAAAAAACTAGAATATACACAGAAGTTGCACATACAAATCATGCATCAATAAATCACTATTGTTCTTCACGTGTGTAAATAATTTTATTTGTTATTCATAATTTAAATGCAATTTTACATGCTGGAAGAGATCATGTTCTTTTCTGCACATTGTGCATGTCAGAGAGACTCGCACCACAGGAGAGATGCAACGTAATTAATTTCAAGTACATTTTGTTATGTCTCTATTACAAAGTTGATACAGAAAAATGTATAATGCTAAGATAAGTTTAACACGATTGTTCAAATCTTATCGAATAAATTCACTCACATTAAATTATGATTATATCGCTGGAACATCCATCCTGAGGATCTCTGCATGTACCTGGCCATAACCAGTTACAAGCTGACAAACTTTCATACAGTTTAATCAAGTTTTCCAAAGCTTGCAGTCGAAATGATGTAACATTTTCACATCATATCCATGGAAGCCAATGTTCTTTGTTGAGTTGCTACAAAATGTATAGAAGATTCTTCCATGGAAACTATTTTCAATCTTCAAATAAAACTTCACGAGCATTGTAGATTATCAAATAGACAGTTGCTCAGCTGAACAACACTTACAAAACAACAAATAAAAACAAGCTTACTGCTTGAAATTCAGTGGTAGCAATTTAAGTTAATTGTACGCTCCTGATCATGAACACTTCATGTCTGGCATCATTGCACACAGTGATTAGTAATATATATATATATTTTTATATATATCGGTTTTTTATAATTTCTATGAATAAAAGTCTTATCTTAGTACTCATCATCATCACAAACATCCAGGTACACATCGAAAGCTTCACGATTGCAGTTCCCATCTGCTTTGAACACATATTTATGAAATGTGCCATCCAAGCAAATTGCTAAAGAAAAAACAACAATCATAATCATGACAAAATATATGCTAGACATTATTACATTTTTTAGGTGAGGTTCAAGTAAAACTCAGCCTTACCAATGACTGTGCTTTTTGAACCAAATGCACAAATGCATGCACACTCTGGAGGCACAGTGAAATTAGCAAGCGCCCATTGAGATTCCACATATTTTCCCAGAAGACCCATTTTTGAAAAACTGAAATAGAAAAAATATCTAGTTACAAATGCATCATCAGACAAATCTAGTTGAAAATCAGACAAAATAAATTCCTATATTTGAAGCCTGACTGATTTGTTTTTATAGGAAAAAGCTTGTAACAGGTGCATTGCAGCTATCTATAGTACTAGAAGCATACTAAAATGTGTGGAAAACATTATGTATGCTTTAATACATCAAATTAATCATGCACCATCAGAAATGCCTGCAACAAACAACTATATTATCCAGTTAATATCTATCTTTTAACAACAGGCCTACACTTTAAACTACAAATCTATTTTTGATAAGGATTACCATGAGATGTATTATAAACGCAAAATTACCTTAATGATTTGAAAATGCTGACAATATTGCCATGCCCTATTATCGTTGGATATAACTGTCCAAATTATTTCATACAACATGAAAAGAATATTCTTTAAAATCTCTAAGAGAAGAAAGGTCAGTTAACTGTCACTGAAGATATGTTACAATGACCTAGTTTTACCTCACACACAGTAAAACTTTATACACACTTATTTTGAAGTTGAACAACTGACATTTTAATTGAAGGTATTGAGATATTTTCCAAGTGTGCTTGCCTCAGAATATGGAACCTTGTGGAATTGACTGATTAAACTAGTGATGCTAAAAAAGCATGTAATTTCTCTTAATATTTGTTATTTTTATATATTATAACAATAATACTTGAACCAGCAAAATGGTATCCAACCCACCAAATAACTTCAACAAGCTGGGATTTATTTTAGACCCTTGTTTGTCAAAATGCTCCAGTTAACTTATCTCATATTTTAATTTGCGCTTTGGTGTTTTTGTAAAGATTTTTAACCAGATTGATCTATTTTTCTTTCATATCTACCCTTCTCATTGTTTCCCATATCTTTTTCCTTGGGACACTAACATGCTTTTTGGAGGTCTATAAATCACATAAACATCTCTTTCTGATTTTATGTTTCTCTATAACTTGTCTGATACAGTGGATGTTATCTAGGCATGATCGTCCTCGTCTAAAACCAATCTGCTCTTCATTCAATACAGGTATATCAACTTCATTTTTTTTTACTCAGAATACTAGAAAACAATCTTGCTGTTGATGGTATGACACTTATTTCCCTGTAATTCACATAAGATAGTTTGTCTTCCTTCTTAAATATTGAAGAGATGTAGGATGTGTTCCATTCTGCAGGTGGATTCCCTCCTGCTTCTATTTTATTGAACATTTTATTGAACAAAGTATCTCACAACCACATCTCAGCCATTTTTCAGGAGCTCCATTCTTATTTTTCCCAGTCCTGGGGCTTTTTTGGTTTTTGCTTTGCATAGTGTCTTCTTAACATCATCCTCGGTTATTTCAAAATTGTTTTCTTCCAGATCTCTTATTTCTTCTTCTCCTTCATATTCTAGTCTGTTTCTTCTTTCTTGTAGAAGTGTTGAGTAGTGGTGTATCCATTTTTATGAGGGGATTCTTTGTACCATACTTTTACATTCATTATTTCTTTTCATTTTCTTGAAAATAAAAATTATAAGTTTATAATAATGTGATTCAGAGTGTTTATTTCAAAAATTTGTATTAACTAATGTCTTAGCAAAACTCGTCAGATATTAAACATTTAAAATAGTAAGGTGTATCCTTTAACATTCTAAAGCTGAGAAAAAACAACATGTTTATTATGTAAAAATATAAAAATAAATCTTACATTTTGGAAACACTTGTTTAATTTTCAACTCGCTAAATGCCTGCAAAAAACCTGCAAAGTGAATCTACTTTTTATTTACAAAAACAAACAGATAAACAATGTTCTATTATATTGCTTTATACTCATTGAAATTTTGAAGTCTATAATACGGTGACATGCTGAAATATGTATAGACAACTGAACTTTTGTTCAGTGAAAATATGTATGTTCTATACCTCACAACACAGACATAAAACATGGATTATTAAATGGATTTTGAATCATTTCTGAAAGGTTAATGCGGAAAAAAGAAGCTCCTCTAAATAAAACAGCTTTGTCTTATCACCATCACCATATCAATGTTCAACAACAATAAGCTTGTCAAATATCAATTGCATCATTCTTGCACCAATTTTCAATTAAGCTATGCATATTGCTTGCAAACAATACATCAATACATTGAGAATAGAAATTGTAGAACAGAGTAAAAAGTAAAAACAGAATTAATGTTGGCATTTTCAATCGTAAATTGTCTTTAAAATTAATTATTTATTTTTCATATCTTTTTTCCATTTCTGTTCACGAATGTTTCTCGTGACCCATAATAGGTGGGTCACCTGTAGATATTTAAAGCAGATTTTTTTGGCATACCTGCAAGTATTTCACCTGCAAATATTTCAAGCAGAAATTTTGTGAAAACTACTAGTTGTTACAAACAAATATACATGACCTTTAATAATGAGGTGATTTTTTTAGAACAGACTTTCTCTGAGGCAAAAATCTTCCATTTTATACTTTTGAAACCATTTTTGCAATTTTCAAAAAATCAAGCAATACCTGAAAATGGGACTAGCACCATA